GATAAACACACTGTTCACTCCGTGCCTTACACTTTTACTCTTGAGTCTTTGGTTTTGGAACTGCTTTCTCACTAAAGCTCACACCACTTCAACATGTGGTGAAGTGATGTGAGTTGAGTGAGTCAGTCATCGTTAGGGTGAGGGTTTTTTTTGCAAACAGTTGTACATTCCCTGCTTTTGCATGGTTTTGCCTTACATAAATACAGTAAATAGTTTTTACTGTCCAGTAACTCTATATCCAAAACTCTGGAGAGTTAAAACTCTGTACTTGAAACTTTTCATTAGCTGGTTTTCAACGTACAGTAAAGTGAGAATGCTTGCCTTGAACTTTTAAAAACCTGCTTACAGTATTATTACCCAGCCTTTGGCAGCCATAAACATACTGTACCCTTAACAAAAACTGCACTCATGGTACAATATCTCACTCTCAACGGGCTTCTATCATGATATGGGTTATGTAATTAGTTGCACTGTAAGTCTGATTACCACTGGTATTAACCGGCTTGTGCCAACTGGCCCCATTACATACCGAGGTCCACAAGGTCTAGAGAGGAGTCAGACTGCTGACTTGACTAAGCCCCATTTAATGAAACTCTTGGAAGTGTCTGCCAATACAAGCACTTCACAAACAGCTAATAAACCCATGGGCTGCAGCTGGATGGTGGTTCAGACAGCTTGGGAAGTCAATGTAATAATATAATATCTAATATCAAAATTTCATTCTAAAGCAAAATACTATAATAGGATTTGACAACAGTATAACCTACGGCGCAATAAAGTACAGAAATACAGTACGTCAAAATGATTCTATGTGACCTTGATCACACTTAGAACTGTATGGATACTTTTATGATTTCTTTATAATAAAGTTAATTTCTATTAAACAACATGGGAATAACTTACTCCACTAGGACCCAGATGTTATCCTATTTATTGTAGTCGATAACAAATATCACAGCTTATTTTTATTCAAGTCACAAGCTCCACCTATACCACCTACACTGTTTCAGATGGAGGTCAGGCACATTACTTTGGCTTGACTAATGTTAAAACTAGGATCACAAAGCACAAAAGTGCTATTAGCTGTAAAGATGAAAAGTTTCTGTCCAACAAAGGTGACTTCTCTGGTTGGATTTTAAAGGAAAGATGATGACACACACTGGCAGCGTGTTCTGTCATTTAAAGGCCACATCCTGAAACTGTGAATATAACTTTCAAACACTTCTGAAGGTCTCTAAAGTGAAAAAGGTGTACTTTCATCAATTTCTACGCCTCTTTCTGTCCTTCCAAAGCACAAGCTGTTTTCGGTGGCAGGTTATCAAGTTCATTAAAGTGGCACTCCATTTTTACACTTTAAAATGAGTATATTAGTCATGAGAATTAACACTCAAAAAAACAATTGAATAATGTCTTCTCTGCCTCTTGGGATCTTGGCCAAATCTAAGAGATTACTTAAGGGACATCACTTAAGTGATCACAGCTTATGCTAAGAGACACAGACAGGAAGTCTGCGTTGTAGGGGGGGGTGACATTTGAAAGACAAGGAGGATGCTAATAGTCAGGATATCTCTGCCTCTGCTGCTCTTTGACCATACTTTTTTACATATGCCCCAAATTTTATGGAAGTGGATTACTAAATCATTGTAGTGTTGTGATGTTTCCTGGGCTGAAAACAAAATACAAGACTGATTGACATGCTTTATATACCGCAAGAACGTAAGCAACAATTCCCAATATTTTTGCCAAAGTTGAGAGGCATTAAACAGAGGGCTGTTTTGATTAAAGCATTAAGATGTGGTGATAGGGATGGGATTGGTTATGATATGTGTGGCCAGCCACATCAGGTATGGGGCCAAAGCTGAACAGACTATAATATAATATTTTTATGTTAACAACCGATCAATGCCAATAACAATGCCTTAGGTAAAAGGGTGTTCAAAGGGCAAGCTCACAGAGTTAGATCAGATGATCAACTGACTCTGCAGTTCTCCTCAGCTGTACAGAGCATTTCAGCGTCTTTAAGCGAATTTTCTGCTTTGTTTGTAGACACAGCAGGCAGCTGTTGCAGCAAAAAATCTCACTGTATGCAACCTGTCCACCACCAAACGACATATGGACAAAGTTAACAACAAGCTGGTGGTGATAATACGTCAGTGCTTTGTTTTCAGCTTGTTGCGCTGCCCCCAGGTGGCCAGAAACTCTACAAATATACCCAGGAAGGCCATAACTAATTGATAAATTAGTCTAATTTTGATCAAAATGACGGAGAACACATCTAATTTCTGATTGATTAAAGACAAATAATCAGCTTGGACCAATAATGTGTGTCATTTCAGAATATCTGAATATGCAAATTGTGATCATTTCTAAAGTTTCCCTGCTGGACACAAGATGTCTCCTACTTCACTGTAAAGTCCATTCTCAGTGGATGTGTACTGGTTTATTCAAGTTTCTACATCACACTGTACAAGTTGCATACTGGACCAGGACTGACTTCCAAACTATTTGTGATATCACAAATCATGCGCATACATCATTCTGCACAGTGAACATCCAGCTGTAGGAATAAGAAGAAAAACATATTTTTGCCTTGAGGGGGACTTTAAAGGAGCACCTTCATATTTTTTAGGATAATAACATGTTTTCTGTTTCATTTTTTAAAGTTTGGACACAATGTACAGACTCACCTATCCTCAATCACCACCAAGACAAAAAAATAGTTTGTTTGTTTTGATGATAAAGGGCTGGCTATTTCTTTACACTGTATATTAAGAATTATTAAATGTGTCTAATTTCTCGCTTTGGGCAATATAGTATTGCATTGCAGCATATTAATCTCCAGTTCAGGGATAAACAGGTTTTGCAGGCTCACAAGATAAATCAACACAAAAGCCTTTTAAGATTTCTCATGAATCTTGAATGTATGCAGCCATAAGCTGATAAGTCCCACACAGGACCGATCAAACCTAAAATTTACATAGAGCAAATGCTGCAAAGACTTGTCAGACAATGTGAGGAGAAGAGGGAAAAAGAAAGAAGGAGAGGCCAGTTTTCCACATCTATACTGTGACAATGTTTGTGAAGCACCAAGGGATTGGCTGCAATGAATTTATGCATTAGTTTGTGACATTTGACATGCAAATACACACAAAAGTCAATGAGTACCAAAGTGTCCAATCCCACCTGGGATATTAGTTGCAAAATGTCACAGCCCTAGAAATCATACATATAGTATTCATGATTATAAGAAATCTGATGCTAAGCATGTTTTATTTGTGGAACATGACAGCCGTGTCCAAACATGCATAATATAACCATCCTTTTTTCTTTATGCACGCAGTTTGTTTTCCAGTCCCTGCATGGTGAATCTGAGGAGGACGGGGTAGCTTTACAGCAGATGGTGGTGCGAGCTGAGAAGACTTTAATAAACCAGATTAAAGTAAAAGACCTTCCCTTCAGTGCTAGAAGCCATCTTAATTAAAGAGTTATGAACTCTCCATAAAACATGAGGAGTGTTTGTGCATCACTCATTATGATACCTGCCAAAAGGAACACCCTGAACAGATGGGACCGTCAGCTACTTCTCTCTGTACTTCTTAAGTCCTTTCGGATGTTGATTGAATCAGGCGATCAGTTATTGAATGAAAAACCAAGTGTGAACCACACAGCTAGGATGTGTCGTCATCCTCATTCAGGTAAGTAGGCCACAGTTCAGACAGAGCGTACAAAGCCTAGTTGGAAGTGCTCAGCAGTGGATGTGTGTTTGCTTCTGTGGGAGGATGCGAGCAAATTCAGTGAATGTGATTGGGCATGCAGGTGGAGGTTGTTGTTTTTTTTCCTATCTCCTGCCAGAGAACGCCTTTGAGGTCCAGATGTGGGCTTGCATCAGATCTTCTGAGCTAAATTCAGTCACAAAGCAAACCACCTGTCTGGCTTTACTCAACATGTGCCTGCTATGGAAATGAGCTGTTATCAGTGGTGTGATGGTAAATAATAGAGGACTCTTTGCCTGGGACCACCCATGGCCAGGGATAGATCACTAACCGGACAGAGGGGTCAGCTGCCCCTTGATTAATTGCAAATTTGTTTGGGCCTTTGAACACTAAGAATGGTCCTGCCTCATTAGAGGAGCTTTATTATTTTAGTTTGTATTATGCCTTCATGATGCTTCATTTAGTAAGTGTTTTGGGAGCACTTTACAGAGCAGAGAGGACAGGAAGTGCACGGAAGGATTGATAGGGAATGACATGCAACAAAGGTCCCCGGCCAAACTCAAACCCCATGTTTTTATGATGCATATTCCTAATAAAGTTGTGTTTGATAAAATAAACACAAATTACATATTCCTCCAGCTTAGGTGTGTGGTTTTCACTGCGCTCAGTGGGCGGCAGGGTATATACACATTGCACAAAGGGCAGTCAGACCAGATCAATGCTACTTTAGGTGGCCCTGGGACATAATGAATTTAGTTTGTGATCTTTTAAAGGTCCAGTGTGTAAGATTTAGTAGCATCTAGCAGTGTAGTTGAAGATTGCAACTCACTCGCTTCACCTTCCCTTTTCCAGGTTGGTTTGTCCCCCCTGTACTGGGCTACTGTAGAAACATGGAGGTTCATCACAGTGGCCTTCGTGGAAGGCAACCCAGCATCTGTAGATAAACATGTCTCATTCTAATGTAACAAAGGTAACGATTCTTATTTATAGATGATTATACACAAATGTATTCCTGCTAATATATCCTCCTAAATGTTACACACTGGACCTTTAATTAAACACAAATTTGTTTAAAGCACATGGACCATGTATATTACATTATATTACATGTCCCCTCTTTAAGAGCCACCTACGGGCAGTGACGTTTCAAATTATGCTTTAGAGGTGCATATTCGGCACTTCCAGCCTTGGCAGTAGTTTGTAGGGTCAGTAAGGGCCCAACAGAACTTTTATTTTTACCCCAGACTCATGTTCATGCTCATGTTACCAGAACTTAAATGACTTTCCACTAAATATTTTATCTAAACTGGGTTGGCTGCTCCATTGTTGTATTCTTTGTATTTCATATAAAAGCCCTCAGTTCCTCCTCTGAGGGTGAGGAGGTGAAAGAGCGCAGCAGAAAGAGGAGTAAGGGCTAATGGGGCTCACTGGGATTTAGGGCTCGAAAACGGCCAAACATGGATGGAATAAATGGGTTTCCTCAGACTAGAAACGATTATATTGCTTGAAAATAATCCACACAGAAAAATGCATGGTGAGAAAGTATTAGGCCTGTGACTTTGGTCAGCAGTGCGCACCGGCCTGTGCGTAATGCAGAGGTCATCACCTACCTATTGCGGTTCCAAAAGCTTTCTCTTCTCTTCCACGTGACTCAGAAGTCACTTCAGTGTCCCCATGACCAGCGTCTCGGAGTTGAACTCAAACTGGTTGCTGGAGGACGCAGACTTCCCCCACGAGTAGAGGCTGGGCGGCCGCTGCTTAAACGACGACGTGTACCTGTAGAAGCTCCTGTGCCTGTTCTTCAGGTACTCCCTGTAGTTCTTGGTGAGGAGCGTGTAGAGGAAAGGGTTAATGCAGCTGTTGCTGTACGTGAGGCTGGCCACCAGGTAGTTGATGCAGGTGTGCGTCTGCGAGGCCAGGCTCAGGGGCTTGCTGTGGTACAGAGGCAGCAACTGCCAGATCCAGAACGGCAGGAAGCACGCCCAGAACACCAGCACGATGGTGAAGATCATGATCAGCACTTTCTGTTTTGGTGACCGCTTGCCGCCCTTGCTGATCACAGAGTTGCGCTGGGACTCTATATAAGTGCGGGCTAACTTGACGTACAGGTAACCGATAATGAGCCCCGGGGCCATGATGCTGGTGCCAAACAGGACAGTCACATACACTTTATAAGCCAGGGGTGCCCAGGTGGGTGCGCACATCCTCTTTACGCCCCCATCGGGCGTGTTCTTAGTGGTCTGGGCGACCATTATCATCATGGGCACAGTGAGAACCAGAGAAAGCAGCCAGACCCCCCACGCCAGAGCTTTGCGGTAACTCTTGGAGCGTCTTACCGTGTCCAGCGGCTTGGTGACGGCCAGATAGCGCTCCGTGCACATGACGGTGAGGGTAAAGATGCTGGCGTGCATGGTGAGGAGGTCCAGGCTGAGCAGGATGCGGCAGCCCACGTCCCCGAAGTACCAGTCCTTTAGGAAGTAGGTGGACACCACGAAGGGGATGGTGGAGAGGTAGAGCAGGTCCGCCAGAGCCAGGTTGATGATGGAGATGTACATGGAAGTGGCGAAGCGGATCGAGTGACACATCACCACCAGGGTGTACACATTCCCCGACACCCCGATGATGTAGACCACGGAGAGAAGCGTCCCGAAAGTGGAGGTGATGACGAGTTCGTGGTCCACAGTCCCGGAGCCGCCGCCACCGACCCGCGGCGGACTCGTGTTTAAATTGGTAGAATTGTTATTCATCGCTCGCCCCGATGCTCTTCTCTCTGCTGGTGGTTGTGTGTCGCTCCGCGCTCTCGGACAGCGCTGGAGAAGTTTGGGAAGATGCGCACCGGCACAGGTTGTGTCTCGCGTATTCGCCTCGCGCTCACTGCCTGCTGCTCTTTGCTCCTGACGTCACCACTGTAACACTCACCCTGAAGATCTTATATCAAAAATGTGTATGATACTCACCCGTCTCATGGGTGCAACTGTAAACACCGTTCAGCTCCCTTTAAACGGAAGAAATGTGCGCGTGGGGAGAGAAGAGGAGAGGATGCTTTCTGGGACACTGAGAGGTGTGATTATGCAAAAATTACTAATTCAAATGTTTCATTAAAAGTTTGGTAAGCACTGACTGTGCACCTGATGCCACAGCTGCCTAATACAATTATCTGGGGAAATGTTAACCACAGGAGTCAATTTTACGCACAGACCGGGCTGCGTTATTTTAAAAATCGCTTTTATATCTTCCAATTAATCTCCAGTGTGCCATTTCCAAATGAGACTGATAGCGCTGAGTTCAGCCAGCATTGATAATTAATCTGAACTGCCCACATGTGCACACGCATTATATTATACACTGGAGGTTCTGATTCAGTACCAGAGAACCAATTATTGTCCCTTCTTGTGCACACTGGCCGGCCTGCACCTCAACATTATGACATTAAGGAACAGTCATGGAGTTATGCTGAAAGTTCACCTTAATGTTATTGAAAATAATAATCATTTGATGCAGAGATCTTGAAATGTCAGTGAATAATTTAAGACTATGTGGAGGACAGAATGTCCCATTAGTGTGTTTCAGTTGAGGATGTAGAAATATCTCTTTATTGGTGCAGCTGCGACTCAGAAAGTCAGTTCAATTAATAAGGCTGTCTGCTTGGTGCAGCCTGCTCACTTGTCTTGTATTTTCAAGGACAAGACTTTTATGTAAGAAAGACCCATGCTATTTTCCCAGGAGGTGAATTATTTCTTGCCAAGATAATTCTTTTCTGAATTTTAAGTGAGACCAAAAACCCGGAAATGAGTTTTAGCACTTCTGGTTCCCTGGCCTCAAAGTCAATGAGTTTTTTGAATGGGTTTTTGGTAAAATTACTGAAATAAGGTCTGTCAACATAAAACATTTTTTTCCCCTTAAATTCTAAAGCTTTTATGTGTCTTAAAAGGCGGTTGCTAAAAGGTGTCTAAAGGAAAATACAGAGGTGGTCAGAATGCTGAACGTGGAGACTTCTACTTACTAGTCCACCTTTACAGCCTCGTTGTGTTTATACTATCTTGCAAACTAACTCAAACTTTCCAACTTGCAGATTTTGATTAAACAATTTAATTACAATTTACAATTACAATTGGAAGTCATGCAATCGTGGTGTAGTTTGTTTATAGCCTTACGTTAGCTTTTTACTTCTGGTGATTGCATTTACGCTTCAAAAATCATAAAAGTGGTGCTGAATTTCTGAAGATAATATTGCTGAAGAAAACGTTTAAGTATCATAAACTTTTGTTCATCACAGAGCTTAGTTTCTACAACAATCCAAAATCCAATGGAAAGAATGGAAAGATCCCCTTGAATTTTTGTTGAAGGAACGAGGACGATGCTAGTCTCCTGCAGCACTCAATTAGGAAGCAATACACGGAAGCACACACACACACACACACACGCTCTTTTAGTACTTCCAAACAGACAACACCCACAGAATGTCCCTCATATAATTGATAAAGATGTCCTTTTTTGTCCTTTTTTCATTCTTGCAGCCCCTCTTGTCCTCCTGAATTGATGGGTACTGTATGTTCCTAGCCAGCAATCATGAGCCAATAATCTTTTCCAGACAGCCTAGGTGTCCTCCGACTCATCCATGCACGGGTGATTGATCCCCAAGACCGACTACAATACTGTACCATCTATCCTCAAAGCTAAAAGAGATTCTCTGTGTGGAGTGTGTGTGTGTGTGTGTGTGTGTGTGTGTGCGTGCATCAGTCAAAGTTTTAGTTTCAGTTTATGGGCAGAGCAGCGCTGGAGCCAGAAATATAACAGTCATTAGCTGGGGTCATGTTGGACTCAAAGGCGACAGGGGTAAGAGAGGTAGCAGTTAACACTGTGACACCCACTGCAGTCTGTTTCTGTAATGTCTGTTTGCAGTTGTCACATTCTCCATCCTCCCTCCCACACACACATACTCACACAAAACTTGTCCTCTGAAATAAATAATTGAACCAGGTACATCACAGTAACACAGTTCCTTTGATCTTGTGTGGCTCTGTACTTGTTAGCCTGATTCTCACAGACAATAAGAATCACATGCATTTGAATCTTTAACACAGCAGATTGTAATAAGGGAAAAAATATCAGACTGGCCCTGCCTGTTGTTACATCATGTTGTCTCTCTGTCCTTCAAATGCTGCTGATGACATGAGAGGTAAGCATTGGCATTGTGACAAACACATTGCAATACGTGTTTTCTGTTATATAACTGACTTCAGAGGTACCCTGTGGATAATATCTGAGCACAAACACAATAATTAAATTCAATGTTTCTCATCAAAATGTACAGTGTGTATCTTTGAGCCCTGACAAGTGTGTTGAATTCCTTTTCTCACTAAACATTTGCAAGGTCAATTTCTTTAAAGGACCAGTGTGTAGAATTTAGTGCCATCTAGTGGTGAAGTTGCAGATTGCAACCATTTGAATACAGCTCAGTCTTCCAAGCTTGTTAGAGAAACTACGGTGGCAGTAAAACTTTTGAACCAAAAACAGTGTTTGGTTTGTCAGTTTAAGGCAACTGTAGAAACATGGCGATTCAACATGGTGGCGGACTCTGTCTGTATTTAAAAACAGCTAATTCTAAGGTAACAAAAACACAACAATTCTTATTTTCATACCTATGAATATTATATTCCATTTCTACCAATAGTGTCTCCTAAATGTTAGACACTGGACCTTTAAAGCTGCACTAATAATTGTTTTTATATTAGCAGTAGATGAAATTAATATGTGTAATGTGAAAGGGTACACTCTTAGCGATTAACTCACAGAGAATTAACACTCAACTCTGCAGTTCTCTTTACCTCTGTAGTTTTAACGTCTTTCAGCCAGTTGTGTTGGTTTCCTGGACCACAACGTTATTGTTTTGGTTCACTCTCACAGGTCTCATGAGTGTCTCAACTCACTGTATGCTACCTGTCCAGTAACAAAGAGCAGATAGACAAAGTCAGTAACAAGCTGGTAAAGAGATATAGAGATCAGGAATTGGTTTAGACCAAAACAAAGCTAAAAGTAGAGTTAATATTGAACCTACATTTAACAGGTGGACAGTCGTGACTATAAAAGAATGTTTGTTTGAATTTTGTTTACAGCTTGTTGTGCTGCTCCCAAGTGGCCATAATCTATGAATGAAGGTTTGAAAACTTTTGAAAACTCACTGCGGGGTCTTAAACAATTGTTTATTTTACTTAGTTTTAAAATGACCAACTTACTTAACTCAACATTTCGGTAAGGTCAACATATTCAAAGCCCATTTTCCTCATGTTGTGCCACCTAAACCACTAAAGGCTGTGTTGTAATGCTGAAGAGATTATTTCATGCTAAAACAAAGCCACAGACCCCGCAGTGCAGGAAGGAGGCAGAAATTAAAATACTGTGGATCCCACAGCCTCACAAATATGGGACAAGTATGGCATATTACACAGTATGTCACTGTAGCTAAAGCAGAGGGATAATGTGTATTTATTTTTCCCATGTATGGACTTCGTGAGAGGAGATCTGAATGCACATTAAGTAGGATTTGAATGGAATGAGGCACACAAATCATGGGATTCAGGGTGACAGGCCAAAGAAGAAAGGGAGGGAACAGAAGAAGAAGAGTAGAAAGTGACAGGAGAAGCGGGGGCGCAGGTGGAAAAATGTGTTATTTTTTTGGTAAAGAGGAGGAAAAATGTTATTTGTACGTGCATGAATGAGAAGTGTGAGAAGACAAGGATTCTCTGTGTAAAGAGTGTATCTAAGCAGAGATGGCTTTGTGCAGTAAAGGCCAGGCTCTATTTTCAGGCCCTATAAGCCTGAGAAGTCTTATGCAAGAGGTGAAAGATTCAGCAAGTTATACTCAGGAGCCAGGCTGGGAGGGGGTATAATTCACAGTTGTGTAATTATGTAAAAAAGAGTTCACTGTACAATGATAAAATTAAGTTTCTCCTCAGAAATTCTCACTAGCACCATCAGCTGAGTGACAGACGCCAGAGAAATGCTTGGAGAGCACAAAATGACATCACGTCTGCTGCACCTTCTGAACTGGCGAGTAGATGCAACATCTGTTGTTTGAACACTCTGCGTTTAGCAGCAACTGCCACAGATGGAAGTGAGATGAGGTGTTTGATACATTATTTACAAGGTGCTTTATATCCAGATTGTGGAATAACACAGGAGTATAGATGTGGAAAGGTCAGACTCATTAGCTGAATGCGTCTTTTTTCCCCCACCAAACTCCACTTGTGCTGTGTGTCCGCATTCTGACAATACACAGTGATCTGTTAACAGGCTGATGATGTCTGGGAGAGAGTGAAGGGATCATCGGTGTGTATAAATGAGTGCAGACACTTTTCTTTCTAGCGATTTACACAATCAGACAAGATCAAAATAGTCAGCATTTAAAGCCCCCCCCCCACACACACACACACACTCAAAAATCAGTGTTTCTCTTTATTCCTACAGTGTGATGTAGAAACTTGAAGCCACCAGTGCACGTCCACTGAGAATGGACTTTACAGTGAAGTAGGAGACATCTTGTGTCCAGCAGGAAAACTTTAGAAATGAACAACATTTGCATATTCAGAGATTCTGGAGTTTTAATGAGGTAGCACAAATTACTAAGGATTTTAATGTGGAAATTATTTTTTTAACATAGAAAAACATCAGACACACATTATTGTTCCAAGCAGGCTCTTTATATACTGTATGTCTTAATATATGCTGGAGGGGATCTTGTACAGAAAAGAGGATTTGCTGTTAGTTTATGGATGATAAACCTGCAGTGTGCTTGGAATTGTCATCTTACATAACTTCAAACTTACAGTATCCTAGATAAAGTGCATGTGTGCATCTTTTCCTGTTTATTCTTGGTTCATGTTGACTCTGCATGCTTAGTTTCCATAGTGATAATTTGTGTCGTGTTGTGTACATCAAGGTGCATGTAAACAGCTTATGCCCCCAAAAGACAAAAGCCTGAGCTTATGATTGAAAGGAAGCCACTCGGTCTGTCAG